AAACAATAATCAGTGTTTTAAAGGAGATTGAGGTCACAAGAATTTTTAGGATAGAAAACCAAAGAGGAAGAAATCATAGAGTGAAAGAACTACAAATCTTCATAGCAATCCCCTAAATCCTTTAGCTGAATGCTGACATGTTGTAGGACAAAATTCCATGACACTGGGCAACAAAGAATAACTACCAGAGGGAAGAAAACCACTGGAGAATAAGGTCAAAGATTCCAGAGCACTCACACATTGGGAGAAATTCAATTTTGAATGGTAAGAGTAGAAAGAGCCTTGGATTAGATCATTTAGTAAAGTCGCCTTATTAATATTCTGAATAAACTAGTCCCGGAGTAAAAGCTCCCTGAACCAGTGTTAATAACACTAAAATAGATAAAAAAAATGTTCAAACAAACTTAGTTTTTCAAAACAAAATTCAAAACAGGTGATCCAGGATGGGGATGTAGCATTTGCCTAACATTTGTGAGGCCCTAGGTTCAATCCCCAGTACTGCAAAGAATAAAAACAAAAAACAGATAACTGTCCAGGTCTCCAATCCCAAACACCAAGAAGTAATGACAAAGAAAAGCCTGTTTCTTCAGTCAGAAGATAGAAGGAAAGTGAAAGAAAACACAGTTTTGTCAATATCTACCTCCCACCCCACATACACACAAAACAAAACTATTTGGGTAATGTTCACTCTTCTCCAACCACACATCAATGTACAAACTGTGTATCAAAATTCTGGAGTGCCACTGAAGCAATATGGAAAGAATTGATGACACTAAGTATCTGTACAGAAAGGATTAGGGTTTCACATCAATTACTTTAGCCTGGGGGGTGGGGCTGTTGTTGTTGCTCAGTAGTAATGTGCTTGCCACCCATGCGTGATGCACTGGGCTCCATTCTCAGCACCACATACAAATAAATAAATTAAAGGTCCATCAACAACTAAAAAATATTTTTTAAAAAATTACTTTAGCCTCTATCTTAATACATTAGCAAAAGAAGAAACAATTGAATATGAAGTGTGCAGACAAAAGGAAACAACAAAAATTTGAACTAAAATAATAGAGCAGAAAAAAGAAATATTACATGTAATATAGAATACACATTACATATTATGTTATGTACACACAAATACTATATATTAATATATGATATATTTAATATGTAACATATACACATAATATATATTTATTAAATGAATATACATGATATATAGAATATACACATACATATACACATACACACACATAAAAATTAGAAGTTTGTTATTTTAGAAAGTCCCTAAAATTGATTAAACTTTTAAACAGATTTGTCAGGAAATAATAAAAGGAAAAAAGAAAAACAGAGAACATGCAAGTTGCCAATAATAGCAATGCTAGGAATGGCCTCACTAGTTTTTATGTATATTAAAAGACCACAAAAGGAATATTTGATTTATGTCAATGAATATAACAACTTAGGTGAATTAACTAAGTCATTGAAAGCCACAGACGACCACAGCTCACTCAAGAAAAAATAAATGACATTAAAAATATGAGTTATATGTCTAACAAATTACAGATAGGATCTTTATGCTGAAACCCACAAAACCAAGGTGTAAGTTTTCAAAGAAAGTATAACTAAATACAGATATATATTTATGAATTGAAACCCAATAATATTATATTGATAACCTATATATATATGTATTACATATACACATATATATGTATATACATACATACATTGTATGTGTGTATATCTCAATCTCAATAAAGAACCAAGCAGTATTTCATATTTCTTTTTTTAGTGGGTGGATACTAGTGATTGAACTTAAGGGCATTCAACCACTGAACTACACCCCTCAGCCCTTTTTATATTTTATTTAGAGACTGGATATCACTGAATTACTTAGTACTTTGCTGTAGCTGAGGCTGGCTTTGAACTTGGAATCCTCCTGCCTCAGCCTCCTAAGCCACTAGGATTATAGGCATGAACCACTGTGTCTGCTCATATTTCTGAAAAAGCTGGTTCTAAAAGTTACATGAAAAGGCAAAGAGGCTACAATATCAAAATAATTCTTAAAAATGTTTGAGGAAATGGACATGTTTAATCAATTTAAATATGTATGGAACTCTCACATTACCCCATTAATATGCACAATTTCTATGCTTTTATGTATCCAAAATTTTAAAAGGAAAAAAAGAAGCTAGAGGACTTATACAGAATATTTTGTCTTATATGATGCAACAGTAATTAAAACAGAGATATTGCAAAATTATAGAGTAATGAAAGAGAATGTGTAGTCCAGAACTGGATTTATATCATGGTCAATTGCTATTTAACAAAGGACCAAAAGCACAATCAAATCAGTGGAGGATACATTGTCTTTTCAACAAAAGATTCTAGAACAATCAGGCATTCAAAAGGACAATAACAAGTCTCCACATAAGCCTCATACAAAAATTGAATCATCTACTAAAGGTAAGAGGTGAATTTTGACAAAAGTATATGACCTTGGTTTCAGCAAAGAGATTGTGAATTATACTCACAAAAAGACATGTTCCACAAATGAAAAATTTGATACTTTGAATGAAATTAAATATTAAACACTTTGCTCTATGAACTACACAGTTAACAAAGTGAACAAGAAAGCTACAGATGGGACTTAAATATTTGCAGCATGTCTACCCAATAAAAGGGTATCCAGAATATATTAATATATATATATATATATATATATAAATAAAAAAAACAACCCAAAGAAAAGTAGGCAAAAGCTTTTCAGAGTCTTCACCCAAGATGTGTAGATGGCAACTAAACATGGTAAAAGAAACAGGAGTATTAAAACAAATGCCGAATGTTTTCTCTGATATAAGGAGGCTGATTCATAGTGAGGTAGGGAGGGAGAGCATGGGAAGAATAGAGGAACTCTAGATAGGGCAGAGGAGAGGGAGGGGAAGGGACACGGCAGGGGGTTAGCAAGGATGGTGGAATGTGATAGACATCATTATCCAAAGTACATGTATGAAGACACAAATTGGTGTCAACATACTTTATATACAACCAGAGATATAAAAAATTGTTATACGTTCAAAGCAGATTAACCCAAATAACAAACACTTCAGATAGAAAAAATATAGAAAAATAAGAATTAAGCAAAAAATAGTTCTGAAGAGAAAGTTAAAAACTATCAAGTAAAAGCTCAACACAAATTTTAAGCAAATTAATAATATAAATCTTGTAAAATTTAAAATTGCCAAAGATAAAAGAACATTCTTAGAGATTAAACAGTAATGGATAGACCTGTTACCTACAAAGAATAAAGTTCAGAAAAGCTCAAAGCTTTTCATGAGCAAATATGTGTATCAAAAGACCTAGATATGAAATACAGAATATATATGTAGAAATATATACATAGAAATATACTTCATTTCTAAAAGAGAAAGGTCAATATCATTAAGCTATGAATTCTTTGTAAATTATTCTGCAGACCCAAGAGAAATGCAAACAAAATCTAAACAGGGTAATTAAAGTAACATGGTAACCTAAATTTAAAAGTTTTTAGAAGATCAAAGTGTCATCTCCCAAGAAAACTGATAAAAAAAAGATTGGAGTGAAAAGTCATGATTAGATAGCGATACTTATTATGAATCTATAGTGATTAAGGTAGAAGATTACTAAAACATTATTTGCTAATATTGCAAAATAAAATACCCAGTATAAATAGTCAGTATTCATTTTTATGATATATGAAAAGGTACAATATAGATTACTGGGGAAATGTTGAATTTTCCCATATTGTTTTCAAAGGAAATAGTGTCATTATCATGCAGAAAAATCACCTGAAAATGAATTAATAGTATGAAGACAAAATATAACTTTTAGAATAAAAAGTATGTCTACTTTCTGGAGAATTCTACAACTTCTAATTAATTTTTCCACTTTTCTTTATGTTTGATTACAGATCGTTTTCAAGAAGTTTCTACTCTTAAAAATGTTAATTTGCATTATACATTTTTAATTTTTGCTCATCTTTTGTATTAGAACATTATAAATATTGGTTTCATTTTGACACAATCGAATATGCAATAAAATCCACTGATAATCTTATAGTGAAAGGAACAATACTATTCATAGTAAACACTAAAGAAAAAATAAAAGCCACATAAATTAAGAACACATATGTAATACATATAATTGAAAGAAAAATGATATTTAGAATTACTAAGAATCCAACAAACACCAGATTCCAAAAAGATAATTGAAAAAAACTATCAATCTGCATTTTACAGATTAAAAAATGAACTACCCATTTGCCCATAACAATGTATGCTAAACCCAATTATTAATAGAAGAAGCACATATCAACATTTCAGTGTTTTACCACTTTATTGCCATTTATCTAGTAAATATTAAGATACAACATCACTTAATCATTATCAAGAACATAGAGCAAGAATGCAGCATTGACCAGAATGTATATTAATACAAGCACTACAGAAAACCTAAAACAAAATATGTACAATGTCCCAGAAGACCCCTTTCTGTTAAATGTCCCAGAAATACTCAGAGACAAAGGGCAGAACTGCAAAAATGTCCCATCACTTCTTGACTGACATCTTTTACTCTCATTGTATTTATTTTTATTTATATCATAATTTTATAATAATTTTGAGTCAAATGATTAATTTCAATGTATATGCATATGGCTTAATTAAACCAAAAATATTGTATTCAAATTCTTTTTTTAATTTTTTTTTTTTTAGTTTTAGATGGACACAATACCTTTATTTATTATTCTTTATCTGGTGCTTAGGATGGAATCCAGGGCTTCACACATGCAAGGCAGGTGTTCCACCACTGAGTAACAGCCCCAGCACCTGTATTCAAATTCTTTACTATATTCTTGTATACTGTTTACTAAGGTGCACTTATTTTGCTACATACTTAACAATAAATTTTGATTTCCACTTTTACACACTTGAAACATGGAAACAAATTATTATAAATATTTTCCCCAGTTTAATGTAGATGGGCCTTTAAAAAATCATGAGTATAGATATCAGAGCATTTTACTTACTAATCCGAATGCATTTGAGAGGAGGGGACCAGCCATTCTCTGTACATGTAACTGTGTTTTGACCATTTGAAAGACTATRGCCAGGATAACAGTCAACTTTAACAGATTCATGCAGTAAATGTCTTGTTTCACCTGAGTAATGTCCGTTTTCCACAAAATTGAAAATGCATTGTCCTAAGGAGCATAAAGTGATAAAAAGTGAAAACATTAATTTGAACAAAATACTGGACTAAAAATTACCTTTATAATATTTAGAGAATGCATAAGCACCCCAAACTGTGCAATTAAGAAAAACCTAAAACTACTATACCAGATGTTTGCTAAAAAATAAAAATCAATAACATTGAATTCATCTTTAGTTTTGTAACTAAAATATGTATAAATGATACAGGTTTTCTTGTATCTTTGTTTTTCATGTGATTTTTTATGAAGAGCTTCTTATAAAAATAAAAACTAATTGGGTCTTTTTGCACACACAATTCTTCCCTTGGCCCTAATTTGTCATGCAAGACAGCTGTAAATACTTATGAGCTTCTTTCTTCCCTCATTGAAAGATACATGTATCATTGTAAAGACATTTACTTACTGATGCATGGTACTTCTGGCAGCCACCCTTCTTTTGTGCAACGAATGAAACCCCAGTATGATTTTGAAGGAGACACAAAATTGTAATCACATGCATAGAGATATTGTTGTCCTATAGGTACTGGAATGTATGGTCTATATCTTTCTTTATGGAATAGACGTCCATGTTTTATTTCTGGAAAATCACAAGGTTTCACTTGTGATAAAAAAAAATAGGATAAATAATATTTTATTTTATTGAGAAACATATCAGAAATAAACCATTTAAGTAATAGATTATGTGTTATTATTAACATAATTATAAGGTTTCCAGGACAAGAAAAGTCATAGAAATTAGATGATTATGCTCTGTGAGGTCTTTGCTAGTGAAGTCAAATGATATCTTTTCAGTCACCAGAGAAATCAACTAGAAATATTGTTAATATCAAAATAGTTAAGATTATAATAAACAATAGTTTTCTCCTAACTTCAGTTGGGAAATGAGATGTTTTTAATGTGCTAAAATGTTTTCCAATAAGGTATAATATAATTATATTTTAGTGACTTATTCTTATGTATTAAATAATTTAACACAAATTTAAGTGCTGTTATTTATTTTATTGTCAGGTTTATTTTTATTTTCTTGAAAAAGTACTCTTTCGTGAGATTGTTTAGAGAAAACCTAGTCCTTTTAATATCCAAATAGCATTAATTTTTTCCATGCAATATGATTCTGTTTCAAGAAATCTTGTGTGATGTTATAAAGAATCGCCCCCATCGCCTTCATGTATACACACATACAATAAATATTCTACAGCTTCTAATTAATATTTCCACTTTCCTTTATGTTTGATTACAGACCATTTTTAAGACGTTTCTACTCTTAAAAATGATAATTTGCTTTATACGTTTTGAATTTTTGCTCATCTTTTGTATTAGAACATTATAAATATTGGTTTCATTTTGACAGGATCAAATATGCAAGGAATATTATTTCAAGCCCCATCCATCCTTTTCCTCCCTTCTTCTCTCCCTATATTCCCTCCTCTTCTTTATTAAAATTTCTTTCTTCTACACATGCAAAAGGGAAATTTCCTTTGGGATGTTTATATATGAATATGACATGATTTGGTTAAATTCATGCCATTTATCTTCCTCTTTCTCTTCCTTCTTCCCTCTCATTCTCCAATAGCTACTACCACTGATCTTCCCTATATCTTTATGATATCTGATCCCCACCCCCACTGCCTTATTTCCCTAAATTTACTATAACTTCCTCATATGAGAGAAAACTTTCAATCTTTGATTTTCTAAGTCTGGCTTATTTCATTTAGCATGATTTTTCTCCATTTCCATCCATTCATCAGCAAATGTCATTATTTCACTCTTACGGCTGAGTTAACTCTTTTGTATGTATGTACCACATTTTCTTTTCTTTTCTTTCTTTTTTTTAAAGAGAGAGTGAGAGAGGAGAGAGAGAGAGAATTTTTAATATTTATTTTTTAGTTCTCGGCAAACACAACATCTTTGTTGGTACGTGGTGCTGAGGATTGAACCCGGGCCGCACGCATGCCAGGCGAGCGCACTACCGCTTCAGCCACATCCCCAGCCCCTGTACCACATTTTCCTAATTCATTTCTAATCTCTATTGATGGGCTTCTGGGTAGAAACCATAATTTGGGAATTATGCTGCTGTAAATACTGATGTGGCTGTATCACAATAGGATGCTCATTTTTAGGCCTTTTGGAAAAACATTGAGAGTGGGATAGCTGGGTCATATGGCAGTTTAAATCCTAGGTTTTTTTTTGAGGAATCTCCCCATGGTTTCCAGAGTGATTKTTCTAATTTGCAGTCCCATCAACAATGCAGAACTGCACCTTTTCCTCAAAATCCTTACCAGCATTTATTATTATTCATGAGATTGATAATTATTGATTCCTTTCAACTGTACTTTCTTGGTCTACAGTCCATATCTCTTGGTATAGTTTTGATTTGCATTTCTCTAATTGCTAGAGATGCTGAACATTTTTCCATATATTTGTTGACCATTTGTGTTTCTTTTTTGTTATTCATTTTTATTAGTTGTAATCAGTTATACATGACAGCAGAAAGCTTTTTTATTCCTTGTACATAAATGGAGCAGAATTTTTCACTTCTCTGATTGTACATGACGTACAGTCATACCATTCATATATGTATGTATCTAGGGTAATAATGTGTGTCTCATTCCACCATCTTTTCTACCCCTATTTCCCCTCCCCCCCTTCCCTTGGCCCATTTCAAAGTTCCTCTACTCATCCCATCTGCCACCCCATTATGGATCAGCATGCACTTATCAGAGAACATATTCAGCCCCTGTTTGGGGGGATTGGCTTATTTCACTTAGCATGATGGGTTTCTTCTTTTGAGAAGTTTCTGTTTAGTTCTTTTGGCCATTTATTGATTGGCCTATTTCTATTTGTTTGCTTCTTTGAGTCTGTTTGTTTGTTTGCTTTTGGCATTGAGTTTTTTTTTTTTTTTAGTTCTTTATATATTCTGGATATTAGTCTCTTGTCAGAGGAGTAACTGACAAATATTTTCTCCCATTCCAGAGGCTCTCTCTTCAACTCTCTTCATCATTTTCTTTGCTGAGCAGGATCTTTTTTTAATTTAATGGCATCCTGCTTACTGATTCTTAGTTTAATTTTGTGAGCTTTAGGGGTCTCATTCAGAAAGTCAGTGCCTGCACCGATATGATGGAATGTTGATTTTATGTTTTCTTCTAATTTTGGCTCTGATCTTTATTATTTCCAACCTTCTACTGATTTTGTAATTAAGGCCTTGAAGTGTAACATAAGCTTATTTATTTGGTCTCTCTCTATATTTTTAATGTAGATACTCAATGAAATAAATTTTAGCCTTAGTACTGCTCTTATACTATCTCAGAGATTTAATATATCTTTGGTTTCATTTGTTTCTAAATATTTTTTACTTCTTCCATCAATTATTCTTTGATCCATCCTTCTTAAAAGGATATTGTTTAAACGCCACATATTTATGTGGTTTCTGTTATTTTTCTTGCTTTTGATTTCTAGTTTCATTTCAGTATGTTCTCATAGGATGCATGGGATTATATCAATTTTATTTTTGTATTTGCTTAGACTTACATTTTGACCTGGAACATGGTCTGTTTTGGAGAAGGTTCCATGAATTGCTTAGAAAAAGATAAATTGAGTTTGAATACATTCAGATTGGATACATCATTATTTATTTTATGTGTTGATGACCTGTCTATTAGTGATAAACATGTATTGAAATCTTCCAGTATTACTGTATTGGGATCTATCTGGGATTTAATGTCAGGAAGTATTTTTTTTATTTTTTATTTTTTAGTTGTTGATAGACCTTTATTTTATTTATTTATATGAGGTGTTGAGAATCGAACCCAGAACCTCACAGGCAAATGCACTACTGCTGAGCCACAGCCACAGCCCCTTAAGAAGTATTTTTTTAATGTATTATGTTGACATTTGGGGCATATATATTAACTATTATTATTTCTTCTTGTTGGGTTGTTTCCTTTACTAGGATGTAATGGCTCTCTTTTTCTCTTCTGATTAATTCTTACTTGAAATCTGCTTTGTCAGATATGAAGAATGGCTACTCTAGCTTGTTTTCAGGGAAGCTTATTTCTTTGACTCAAGCCCAGGATTTTAGAGTTACCATTGCAGAAGTTTATCCTATTTGATTCAATTTGACATGTACAATTTTCTTTGAATGATATGTCCTAGTGTAGATTCACTAACATCATCCTTTGTGTCATTCAAGTTGTGAATTTATACTACATTTTCCCTGAGCCATTAAATAATTTGATGTCACCAATGAGTAATGGAGTTGTCCTGAGAAGAAAGTCCTCTTGCTTGATTATCAGATARGATTATTTAATGAAATTGCAAAGAGATAAACCATCTAACTGGTCAATTTCATTGTCTTATCCATAAGAACCTGTGAAAGGCAGGTTCAGATATATTTGAGCCAATCCATATTGTCAAAGTCAACTATAAAATCACTAAACATTGACCTTATAGTTCTTATGCACTTTGAAATTTGTTTCACAGTTATAAAAGCTTTCTCTGTTAGTKACTGGAATTTTGCCTAGAACTAACATTGAACTCATTGACCAATCATTTGCATCATCACATTTTTGTTTAAGTGTGATACACCTTTAAAATGTACTGYTAGATAGAAAGAAAAGGAATATGACTGTGGAGACACACTAAAACTTGAAGAGGGCCAAGAAAGCATTCCATATATAAAATAGTCTTGACCTGAGTGGAATTTTGCCACATGTAAGATTTGTAGGAAACTACATAAGTCCTTCAGCACTCCTCCATCACAATAGGGGAGCTTTATTTTTCTCCTTTTGGGGGCATGTTGGACTTAGTGTCTCATTTCTGAAGAATAGATGTGGTGGTAGCAAGAGTATGTGAGTAGATCCTAAGTGGTATTCAGGCCTCCACTCATCAGTAGCTCTGGAGAAAGTTAGCTGTCATTCAGGTAACCTAAGGAGAGGCCCATGTGGTCAGGAGCTGAGGCCTCCTGCCAAAATCTATGTGAGTGAACCATGTGGGAAGCTGATCCTGCAGAACAGTCTATTACACTGATGTACTGACTGCACCACAAGAAGAAACTGACTCAGAACTACCCAGGGAAGTCATTCCCAAATTTCTCACCCACAGACACTGTGAGACAGCAAATGTTTGGTATTAAACAAATATGTTTGGGGGATATTTGTTTTAATGAAACAAATAACATATTATCTGTTAGAAGGTAGTATTTTTTACCCAATGTTTTTTCACATATTGGAAGAATTTTATTAATTAGAGAAATACATTTATATATATATATATATATATATATATACACACACACATACATTTTTTGAATTGCAAGAAACTGTTTTTAGTTTACTAAGATGTGATTTTCATACTAAGAAAAGTAAATAATGCTTTTAAAGGCTCTATGTACATACTATGTACATAAACATAGACAACTATTTGGTCTTGTCACTGTGTGTGTGTGTGTGTGTGTGTTTGTGTGTGTGTGTGTGTGTGTGTGTGTTTAGTAGAAAAATCAATTCAGAATTCCAAAGTAGCTCAAGATATAAATGAAACTTACAGCTACATCTTGGAAGAGGTATCCAGCCACTACTTGTACATTTTGCAGTATTTCCTCTGGTTGCAGGATAAAAATCACTTTTACATTCATATCTGATTTCATCTTCAGTTCTGTGTTTAATCCTTTAAGGTGAGTAAACACCATTTGGAATATAAGGAGGATTACATGTTACTTCTGGGAAAAAAATTTGGATGTGTGAATAGTGTGGAAATAAGTACTCATTAAAATTAAGTATAAGAAAGTAAGACTATAGGTAATATTTATTTGTCCCTAGAGGAGCACAAAATGACATTAAAATAAATATATCCTCACATATCTCTCTCTATATATCCTCGTATATCACTCCTGTTTAACTTACTGTGGTTTTCACCAATATATTTGTGTTCCCTGAACTCTAAATCCCTCTTTGCCCAAAGCTATCACATACTTCATGATACTCCATGTCTGGCAATGACTTCATCATGATTATGTATAACTTCAAATATTTCTTTTTTTCTACTTTTGCTCTCATAAGGATTGTTTACAAAAATATACATAGACTCTTCTTTCCACACAACTGGTAGGAAATTACATCCATTCTTTGAATTAAATGTGGCCATATGACATAAGATAGTTCAATGTAATGAAAATAAAACAGAAGGGAGTTTTAAAAGACATTGTGTGAATTTTCATGTTCTCATTCCCACATCTGCATTAACTGAAGAAGAACATTGGAAAGATGATGCCTGTCTCACCTGATCTTAGAACTAGTTTACCATATTTCACTGCATTATTATTGCCACTGTTACAGGATTCTTCCACAGAGAGACCAGAAATGAGGGCATTCAACAGAAAGCAGAGTATATTAGTGTTGGCACTGGTCCAGCAGATTTGTATCCAAAGGCTGAGGCCTCAAAGCAGGAGGTGTTGCCTTATATACATCTTGTTAGCTCCTCTTTATTTTCTAGCATTTTGTATCCCATATAAGGTAATATACATTCTAATTGAGCATTATATTTCTGTACTATAGATTTGCAACAGTGTTACAATAGAGTTGTGGAATATGCATGGTGATTTTGATGGTGCCATGTTACCTTTCCTTTGTTCTGAGAAAGTCCCTACCATACCACTGCATTAACATATGTTCATGAGTATTCCATGCATTCTAATCTTGGACCAAGACAGTTTAGTAATGAAGAATTTCAAGTAATGCCTGCACAATTTTTTTTATAAAAATGTTTCATATGTGAAACATTTAATAGCACTTCACTTTTGGGCAAAAAAAAGAAAAAAAGATATAAAGTCTGCAATGATTTTTCAGTGAAATACTGTGCAGAGACCCTTCTGAAATGTATTAGAAGTGAGCACAAACAAGAAACAAAGTGTAGTTTGTTAAGATATTGATATACTGCAATCTATTTTTTGGAAAGCCGTTTTTGTAAAGGGTCTCTTTTGCAACTACTTAGGTTTGGCAATGTAATATAAAAGTAACCATACCCAATACATAAATAAATGGACATTATTGTGTTTCAATACAACTTTCTTTACCTGTGATTTGACCTGTGAGCAAGTTTGCCTTCCTTTGATATCTCTTCTCACATATAAAGCTCTTTCTTATTCCTTCCATCAACTCTGCTATATCCCAATAATGGATCAATTTACAATATTCTTTTTCTTATAAAGTAGTATATATTTTAAGTACAGTAGAACAGTTATATAAATGTCTGTATTGATGCCATATTTTAGTCTGACCTAAAAACATGTGGTAGACATTCATAATTACTTATGATCCTTTATATGCTCATAATTTACCTCTTATTTCATTTTCCAATATAAGTGACTCATTGTTATTACACTTTCTTCAAGCCACCTAAACCAATTGCTCTTTTATCAACAAATAATGAGTCTTTGAACTTTAGTTTACATTTCTTTACTTGGGTTTTACTTCATGATATAACTAAACTTAATACCATTTTTTTAATCCAAAGATACAAGTTACAAAACCAAAAGTTTAAGAGAATGACTAAAGTGTATTGGGTAATTTTGTTAAAACAATCGAGAATCTAAACACTTCTGAAGATTAATCTCAAACTGTAGACATGAATTCATTGATGAAGCTTAATTCCTGCCTTTGTAATCTTTCTTAAAATAAACAATTTTAAAATTGCCTTACTATCTATTGCTGTCTAAAATAATAATATTCAAGACTATCCAAATGAATGTGGTCCCTTTTTCCCACTACCGGATAGATACATTTGAAGTAAGAATAATACTGCTTGATTAGCACCATATGTTGTAAATCAATTTTTTAAAGTTTATGAGGAAAATAGATGGAATTGGATCAAAAATGACTTTTAATCAATTCATCTTGGCATGTTTAATTATTCCTGTAAATGATTTCTTGTAGGCTGTCTTCTATTGGACAGAGAAAACCAAAGTTTTTGACAACTCTGTCAAAACCCTTGGCATCTATATGCCATGGATGAGATGGAAAGCAATTCAATTATTTTCTCCTCAATCATTTTAAATTTTGCTTTATTACTAATTTCTGAGCTTTGAGTTACACAATTTTAGAGAAATTAAGATTTCTGGGTCAGGAATTCATCATATGTCAGCAGGTCAATTTTTTCATTGTGCCAGGAAAACAAAGAGAAGTGTTTGTAATATATTAGCTGAGGTAGAGATGGTAGAGTGCTTTTATTAACAAGAAACTCTTCTACATCTAGTCAATGTAAAGTATATTAAAATAAAATGAAACACATTTTGAGACAGCGTACATGCTTATCCAATTTGGAGTAAATCTCTATTGTTATCAAAGTTTAATAAAATACCTTGTGATCAGCCAAATCCCTTTTAACATGGAATTAAGTGGATTATCATTGTCTTATATTCATTAATTATTTTCTAAAATATTTTGTTAATGATGCCTAAAAATAGAGATCACTCTATTGTGAGGAAAGATACATTTTCCATGGAACTGTTTGTAAACTGAAGCAAAATAAAATGTTTAATTATAAAATCAATTCAAAATTAACTATACTTTTATAAAATATAACTAAAACAAAATTTAAGCATGTAATTACATATCACAGATGTAAAGTTCCGAGGGTTCCTAGGAGTTAACTCTCCTTACCTCACAGTATGGTAAAATCTGTGAAAATCACTGGACCTATCAATGGTCCTTGTTTCCCTCACTGCAACAGTTCTCATCAAAAAGCTACCTCACTTCTTTTCAGAAATGCCTGAAAATATCTGAGGACAGGAATTACGACAATATAGCTATGTCTTCTTGCTATTCTTTTTATGGTTATGATTTCTTAAACTCTTCAATCATCTATATTCTCTCTTCTAGGTCATGATCATTGGAAGACATCATTTTAACAGGAGGTAGGAAAAAAAGAACACAATATTCAGATATAGTTCTTGTGGGGAAAAGTGCTCTGCCTCTCTGCATGACATCCTTCCATGAAGAAGCTTGGAGTTAGGATTTCTTTTTCAGCACCATCATTACTGTTGTTCCAAATTAGACCCATTGCTCATGAAAATCTCCACTTTCTGGATCCCTTTAATTCCATTGTGAATGGAGATTTACCTCATCTGATATTAATATAATTTACTCTTTACAGCCAAATTCTAGGCTTTAGAAGAGCAATCTATGTATTTGAGAATTGCAGATTATTGAAATTGGAAAGCCTATGACAGTCCTGGCTCTGCTCCTGGAATGTTTTATCACCATGAACTAGCTACTTAATAGTATATTTAATCCTCTGGTTCTATTTAAAAATAAATAATAAATAAATAAATATCCAATAAAATTCTTTTGGAGTGGGGTACCAAGGATTGAACTCAAGGACACTTGACCACTGAGCCACATCCCCAGACGCCTTTTGTATTTTATTTAGATACAGCGTCTCACTGAGTTCCTTAGTACTTTGCTGTCACTGAGGCTGACTTTGAATTTGTGATGCACTTGCCTCAACCTCCCAAGCCCTGGGATTACAGACCTGCACCAGCGCACCAGGCCTGATAAAATTTTTAACAAAAGARACAGAAAATAAAAATAACCTTACCTTCACATGAGGGACTTGGACTCCATCCTGAACTAGTGCATGTAGCATTGCCTCTTTCACTGTTTTCAAAACCTTGATTACATTTATATTGAAATATTTCATTCTCCTTATAAATTTTCTTTGGAGATACAGAATACCCATTTCTAATTTCTGGCGATGTGCAGGAAATTTCTAAATACAAGAGATTAAATTCTGAAATGTTTATTATGAACTAAAGGACTATAACCAAGTTGTGTTTATATAAAAATAGAAAATTTGTTTCCATTAGGTAAATCAGCCAACCAAACAAAAGTTGTCTTTTGGCTTGACTGTCTGTTTTATCTGTTATTCTTAACATCATCTGTTGCTCTTCATTTTTGCCAGAAGCTAAAATTATGAGAAAAATTATATTTCAACTTTAGTTTAAGGGTAAATTAGTCCTTTGGCAGTAATTGATAGTAATACTCATCAAATGCATATGTGATATTGAATATAGATTTACTGTGATAAGTATTTTCTCCAAGTGACCTGTAAAAATAAAACATTTTCTCGTTATTGATTCAACAGAATCTTTCTCGAAGAAATTTATTCAACTCATTTTTCATTACATCTTTGGAAGTAACTGAGATTCTGCTTTTGTGTCTTCACTGTCTATACAGGTTTTCTGTCAAAAACAAAAACACAGCAAAACAAACACCTAAACAATAACAACAGAAAACTGCCCATCATCTTTGACACCACTTCTCTCAAATACTTTTCCCTGAGATAGTGACAATGATAACTGTTTTTCCAAATCTTCTTCTTCCATCTTCCTAATCTCTTTTTCTTGGGTTTAACTACAAAAACTTCCAAATGGTCACTTTATTCCTCCACTTCAAATCTTTCACCAGTTCCCAAATCAGTCTGCATTAAAGCTAAGTTCTTAAGAATGGTGCATTAGCTTCTCAGTACCTTGTACTGGCCTATCTTCAGTTCATCACTGACTTATCATCTTCCTATGGGAGGCCCCTGTGGATAGTGGACAAGGAACAATAGGACTTCACACTTATTGAAGCCTCAATGCCTTTCTATGTTCCTCTTCTGACATTCCTAGAACTGGCATGCTTTTGCCTTCTTCATGGTCACCTAAAAATAGCCCTCTCTTCCTGTAAGACTTTCCTTAGGCATCTGCAATTTCAGGAAGGTTCTGCTAGCCATGACATCTAGCTGTGATCATAGAAATCCCATGTATGAACCTCTAAAGTATTTAACTTAACATTATTATCACAAAGCACTATTTCTGTTAGAATTCTTAAGAAATTTTTGTTTATTTTTTTTTTACTGTAAGGTAGACTAGATTAAAAAAAATGTGACAGTTCATAGTTAACTTTCAGCACAAATATGAAAGAGAATTATTTCCTAGAAATAAGTTATCAAAGATGAGTTATTTAAAAATATAATGCCATCATGATGCATCAGTGGAAACAAATAATAAATATTTGGCATCCAGAATTAAAAATAGACTTTTTTGGAGATCAGCACAGAAAGGCTGAACATTCTCTTTCAACTTGTAAGAGCCAAGTACAGCCAGTAGTGGTGTTACATGCTGTAATCCCAGCAGCATAGGCTGAGGCAGAATTTCAAGTTCAAAGCCAGACTCAGGAACAGCAAGACATTAAGCAACTCAATGAAACTAAGCAACTTAAACCCTGTCTCTAAATAAATAAAAAAATGGCTAGAGTTGAGTGCTCCTGAGTTTAATCCCTGGAACTCATCACCCTGAAAAAAGAGCCAACAACAATATGTTTGTGGTTAGAGTATGGATGCTGATGTCAGATAATAACCTAGGTTTAAATCTAGACTCCCTATGCTGTGGTAATCTAGGCTGCATGATTTGATTTTTGTTAACAGGGAAGTAACACCCAAAAGCTCATATGTGAGACAATCCACCAAGATTTAGAGGTGAAATGATTGGGTTATGAGAGCCTTAACCCAGTTAATCCTCTGATAGAAATTGACTGAGTGGTAACTGAAAGTAGGTAGGGTGTGGCTGGAAGAGGTGGGTCATCAAGGGTGTACCTTTGAGGTATATATTTTGTATGTTGTGAGGAGAGTCTCTCTCTCTCTCTCTCTCTCTCTCTCTCTCTCTCCTCTCTCTCTCTCTCTCTCTCTCTCTCTCTCTCTCTCTCTCTATCTCTCTCTCTCTCTCTCTCTCTCATCTCTCTCTCTCTCTCATTCCTGATCATCATGTTCCAAGTCACTTTCCGTTGCTTTATTATTTCACCATCATGTCCCTTGAGCCCCAGGGAATGGAGCTGGCTATCCATGGACCGAGACCTCTGAAACTGAGAGACCTCAAATAAACTTTTCCTCCTCTAATTGTTCTTGTTAGTTTTTTTAATCAAGCAGCCAAGTAGCTGACTAAAACAATTTTGCACCAAAATTTCTTCAATCATAGAGATGATACTAGTACATAAATCATAAAACTGTTTTGTAGGTAGAAAATAAGATGACTTATACAGAAAATTAAGATCAACTACAGGAATATTGTACATGCTTAATAAACATTAGCTTTTTAAGAATTATTTATATTCATTATTGTGTACCACATTTTCAAATATATATTTTCATAAGAAAAACTAAGAACAATTAAGCAAGCAGTTAAGTGCATCTTACCCACACATCTTGGTTTTTCATTACTCCAATGACCATTTACTGAACAATATATTTCTTTGTGACCTTCATGTTTGAAGCCTGAATTACACTCAAACTGCACGACTTGTCCAAAATAATATTCCTCATCTGGTTCTATCGCACTACTGATAATTCTCCCATTCTCTGGTTCTGTCACTGGCAAACATGTAACAACTGAAAAAACAAAAATAATTTTTTCTAGTAGAATTTGAAAACTTTGTAATGAAATTGTGTGTGTGTGTGTGTGTGTGTGTGTAAAATCATCAGCAAGATAAAATAGAGGAAATTACTTAAATATTTTAAGAAGCATTTGATACACCTGTTTGCAAAAGATAAATCTAGGTAAAATTAAAATTACTGTTTATCTCTGATTCTTTTCTGTGGAAGTGAACAAACAACTACTACTTTGAATCGTAGTTTGCAATTTCATGGTGACAAGTAGCTCAAATTATTAAGAAATATAAGTTTAGAATGACTAAATACAAAATTTCCATGTATGCCCTGAAATAATATAAACCAGCATTCTAAAAKATATAAAAGTAAACTTCATAGTATTTACTTCAATAGAAAAATTGTTCTTAAATTTCCTTCCTCTTCCACCTCAGTGTTCAAAATAACTTGAGTACTTATTTTAATTTTACTTAATATTTTCAAATATCCAAGGTTATGGAAGTCAAACCTTTTTACTGTAGAAGGACCCTGGATTCTTGTTATTATAAAAATAATAGGAGTGTTTCTCTTTCACTCCAAAAATACTGATTCAATAGGTCTTTTTTTAGTAACCCAAATCTCAGTTTTAACAAGGATCCGAAGGAATTTTGATTTATCTCTTTATTTATTCTCTCTCTCTCTCTCTCTCTCTCTCTCTCTCTCTCTCTCTCTCTCTCTCATATTTATCTATTTATTTATTTATGTGTACTGGAAATAAAACTCAGGTCCTCATGCATGCCTAATAAACACACTACCACTGAGCTATAACTTCAACTCCTATATTTGATATATCAAAACACAAAATATGTAGTAATAAAAGAACTTGTCAGGCATGTTTGTTACACATCTGTAATCCCAATGACTTGGTGGCTTGAGGCAGGAGGATCACAAATTCAAAGCCAGCCTTAGAAATTTAGTGAGGCCTCAAGCAATTTTGCAAGACCCTGTCTCTTAATAAAATCCAAAAAAGACTGAAAATGTGGCTTAGTGATTAAGCACCCCTGAGTTCATTCCCTGGYACCAAAAATAAATTTAAAAATAAAAAATAAAAGAAAATGACTAGATACATTGCTGCACTGGACAAGCAGAATGCAGAAAGAACAACTTTTTCAGATTTTTCAAAAGTTTCTTAAAGCCACCTACCTGTAGGATAATAAAACTAGATATCCACATTGGATATCCAGTTAACTGGTTAGTATTCAGCAAGGGAAGGAACTGCACTGTATTATAAACCAGAAAAATAATTTAAATAAAAAATATTTAATTATAAACTTAAGGATGTTTTGATGCCAAACATTTTGAAAAAGCTTAAATAGTTTAGCTATCTTGACAGATTGTAAACTTATTTTATATTACCTTTACATATAGGAATATCATTTGTCCATCCTTCTGCTTTACATTCACGGAAATTATTCTCGCTTAACATTCGATACCTGAAAACACAAAAATAACAGACTGGCAAGAGATTACGTATTTGCATGCAGTTTTTAGCTTAATCCTATTCTGAATGTCTTTCAAAAACTCCTTTTTATGGAAAATTAGCAACTTATACATTTCCTTCCTTCTTTTTCTCTTCCTTTATTTTACCTTCCCTACTATCCTTTCTCCCTTCCTACCATCATTTGTTCTTTCCTTCCTTTCTTCCTTCCTTCCTGTCTTAAATGTCTTTCTCTCCCTCTGTTTTTTTTTTCCTTTGAAAGACCTGTAGACTCATTAAATAATTTTCATGGGCCTTTGTTTTCTTCATTTGCAAATAAGGATTGTTCTGCTCATTGTACAAGTAAAATAAATGTTCTCCCTCAAAAAAAAAAAAGGAAAATGCTTTGATTTGTGACTAATTCTGTAAGGAAAGAAAACATTTTCATAAACCAAGTTTTAGTCACAGAGCCAAGCATTTATTCTATGTATCATTCATGTAAAGGAAACAAAATAATTGACTACTAAGGCAATCCTGTAACTTCTCTACTAGCTAGAATATACCCTCTTAACAGAGAAAGCAGATTTTCTGGTTATTTTTTTCCACCTGCACCAGAGATCCATTTGTTTCCCAAAGATGTTTCAGATATTCTGCAACATTCTGCAAAAGCCTCCCATGGTCCAAATATTTGGAGGGAGGAGGGGAGGAAAAAGAAAGAAGTTGCCTATTTGATAGTGATTGGCAAAAAACAGTAGCTGACAATACTCAAACCCAGACAAGCAGAATAATAATTTTAAAAAAAACTTAAGGTTTTTCAAAACTTCTCAAAATTTTCATAATTCCTGTAGGATATCTGCACTGAATATTCAGTTAAATGGTTAGTATTCAGCAAGGGAAATAACTAAAGACAAAAGATCAAAAAGGGTTAGTTGACTGACAGAAACCAAGGGGTAAAAATCTACTTCACTGGGCTAGGGCTGTAGCTCAGTGGAAAAGTGCTTGCCTTGCACATGTGAGGCACTGGGTTCAATCCTCAGCACTGCATAAAAATAAACAAATAAAATAAAGGCATGCTGTCCATCTACAAATACAAAAAAAAATTAAAAATCAAATCTACTTCACCATCTACAACCCGGTCAAAAGATTTATATCCCCTACATTCTAGCTAGTAGAGAAGTTAAAAAATAAAACAATTTTAAAATAACATAAATTACTTTAGTTTGCTGGATGATCTCAACACTTCATTTCACTGATAAATATCAGCGATTTCACTGTCAAAGTTCTGTTGGAGACTGAGAATAGCAGGAACTCTCATAGTGAGGCTATAGCAGAGTTACCCCTAGTGGACACAGGGTGAGGTAAAGAGAGCCAGAATCAGAGGCAAGTCTGTAGCTACTTTCTTCAACAAGTTGTAAATATGCATTTTTACAACTGAGGAAATCAAGTAAAAGAAATTTATGGATTTTGATTCCTTTCCAAGTCATTGTTGGAACCTAAAGGGAAGACTTCTCTAGAAATAAAGGGATATTTCAGAGGTAGAGCAAATCAAAAAGTTCAGGCCCAGATTGGCTTAACCTACTTGGTTACATATGAAGAAGACAGTAGTAAAGACTGAGAGTTGGATTGAAAATGTGTTTGAAAAACTTCCTCTGAAGAGGCCAAACTATTAAGAACTAATACTTATCAGGCATTTGCAATATTCCAGGGTCTCTTTTAAGGGCTTCAAGTATGGGTCTTATTTCTTTCTCTCACTAATCCCATTATGCACATGATATGTGTTCACTTTAAAAAGAAAGCAAAATACCAAGTGAAGACCTATTTATACACACAGATACTGAGATTTGAAGGTTTGGTACATGGGTTTAGTATCAAGCCTGAACTTAAACTATTACATTTTCTTGCTCCAAATCAAGAAATGTATGAGGGGAGAACAATGATTCAATTTATAATCTCTTGATTCATATTGTTTAGTATAAAATTACAGTGATCTAATCATGGCTTCCTAACGTATAAAATTTTCTGCAAAATAAGTTTTTGACCTAGAGAGGAATAATAGAGAAGAACAAAGACTAAGGAGGTACTGTGATGAGATCAGTCAGGAAACCTGACTGGCTGGTTAGAAGGTATAAAATCAATGATTCTGAAAGAGTAGCATTTTTGATATGAATGATAAAAAGAATTTGTATAACATGGAAATTTAAATAATAGCATTTATAAGTAAAACTTGCAACCAAAAAATTGCTTCTTCCTAAATTTTATAAATTTATAATTTTATTATATGTCCAATTATTCCCAACATAAATAACCCAAAATACCCTGCAAATAGTACAATGTAGAAAAGATGCCTTGGGTGAACACTTACTGCCAACTGTTTTTCCATATACTTATAAAAATACTAAATCAGAGTAATCACAGCTTGAATTTCTTAATGTTAAGAAAACAGTATGATATACACATATAATACTTTATATTGTACCTTAATTTTCAAGTTATTTGTGTATATAAATTAGTACAGTTCCTCTTTAGTATTTGAGTTATAAACCTTTTCAATATTGACTACATACCCCTCMTCACATTTATAAACAACTTTTGCGCCATATTCAAATTTATTTCCTACTTCAAGATGAAAAGAACCAAATGGAGTATCCCCAGGATGTCCACAGGGCTTTTCTAAAATAAAAAAAAATTAAAAAAAATATATATATACACACACACACACACATATATATACACACACATATATATATGTATGTTATGCAGAGAACACATTTTATGTAGGAGTTGGTGGACAAAGATATTTGGCATTTAATTAGAGGACAACATTGAATATAAGGAAAATTGAAAAGAGCAAAGCTATTATTTTATAATTGAATATATTTTTGAATTTTGTTGAATTACTGTCCTCTTTTTAAAAATAATCATGTATTGCTTTGTATTAAAATGATAAGAATGATATAATTCAACCAGTATTGTTACAATATCAAGTATTAAGCATTTTCAAAACTAAAAGATTTCATAAGTTTCCAAAAAAAAGTGAAGAACTCGGGGTTGTGGCTCAGTGGTAGAGGCACTGGGTTCAATCCTCAGCACCACATAAATGTAAAGTAAAGATATTGTGTCCACCTAAAACTTAAGAATAAATATTATTTTAAAAAGTGAAGTACTTACTCTGACATATCCTGCCTGGATTAAGAGCCACCCATTCTCCATTTCTGCATGCCCTTTTGATGGTGCCCAGGGTCCTATAGCCAGGGTGGCATTTGTAGGTAGCCTGAGTACCCTCTGTATAAGGCTGGTCAGGCCAGGAACCTAACAGAATTTCTGTATCTCCTATTGGAGGAGGTCCTTGGCAATCTGCAGATAATAAAAGCAAACATATGATATGTTGGGGTTGGCTTTGCTTTTAAAAATACCTATGTGATTACTGATCCATCCCTTGTGGGAATGAGTGTCATGGGTTGGTTTCGATGTGTCCCAAAAAGCTCACTTATAAGATAATGCAAGAAGGTTTAGAAGAGAATTGAATGGGTTATGAGAGCTTTAACCCAACCAATGAATGTATCTATTGATGGGGGGATGGGGGTTAACAGAGTGGTAAATAAAGGTGAGTAGGGTGTGGCTGGAAGAGATGGGTCATTAGAGTATTTGGTCATTTTGTATCTGGCCAGTGGAGTCTCTCTCTGTCTCTCTGCCTCCTGATCATCATGTGAGCAGCTTCACTCTGCCACACTCTTCCCTGCTGATGTTTCGCCTCACTTCAGACCCTGAGGAATGGAGCTGCCTATCTATGAACTGAGAGTTCTGAAATTGTGAGCCCTCAGATAAACTTTTCCTCCTCTACAATTTTTCTGGTCAGATCTTTTAATCACAGCAACAGAAAGCTGACTAGAACAGTGTGCATGTAAAATAGTGTGTGTGTGTTTAAAAATAAATTGTGGGATTGAGAGGATTAAATTAATTAAATCCAAGTGAGAAAGCCCTATTTAATGCAAACATATGGTCTTTGGCTATTTCTTACCTGGTTATGACTGCCAGCTGTGGATATGGATTGAAGATCCAAATTTGAATAAATAGCGGAATGGTAGTGAAGAAAGGAAGAACCAGATGAACTTTGAGAGATTACGTCTAGCATAAAATTTTCTAAAACTTGTTTAGAATCAAAGTTCCCTGCAGAGGYTTTGGACTGAAATTTCCCATATTCTCAGACAAAATGTCCGAACAGGAGAAGTGGCCTGCTTTAAGTAAACAGTTAGTATCTTTATTAAACATATTTGCTATATTTGAAAATCACTCAGGATCAAATTTTAAAACGGCAGTCAAAGCATCAAAGAAGCAGGTAAATTTATCAGTCTTTTGGGATAGAGGAACAAGATTCTAACCAGGTTCTCAATTGAAAACATATGAGTGTGCATGCGTGCACACACACACACACACACACTCCTCTCTTTGCATCTTTTCATACCAGAAGTGGACTGACTCAAACTAAAATCTAACCCAGGCCCAAATAAGTTTAATTATATCAAAAGAAAGCAAACACTCTCATTGGTGGGAGTAATTACATATACTTAAGTTATAACATTCTATCTCATACAAAATGTATGGACTCAAATGAAAATTAAAGCACACATGAAAGGAGAAAAAGTATGTCCAGGAAGAGAAAATAAAGTTAGTAAATAGCAGACACTTAGCTCCTGAAGCTACAATGCTATCAATACCTTTAGAATAACTCTTTTAAGTATGTTAAAGAAACTATATAAAGAAGATGTAAATGAATAAAAATAAAAAGATACCCAAAACAAAATGACTATAAAAATCATGTGCTATTCTGAAAGTACAGAATAAATATGTGAAATAATGCCTTATGAGTCATATGGACACAGAGGGAAATATATTAAGCTTGAAGAAAGTCTAATGTAGAAATGCCACAAGTGAAATACAGAAAGGCTAAAGTGCATAAACAAGAACAAATCAAACAGAGTAATAAAAAAGTGTCATGCAGTGTCAAGTAACACAACATATGAATAACTGGAGTTTCAAAGGAGGGAAAACTGACAGAAGTAATAACTGAAAAATTAATAGCTCAAAGGAACCTAAAATCGCTTAGAGAAATCAAAACACAAATGTAAATCTTGGCAAAATCCCTGAGTATATACACAAAGGAAACCTATATTCAGGCTCTGCTAAAACACACACATAAAAAACAAAAGTAAAAAGCCTTAAACACATACAGAAAAAAAAATTTTTATTTTGATAACAATAAAATAACAACTGAGTCTATAATAGTAAATGTTGAAGCATGAAATCGTTGTCTTACATTTCTAAAATTAGGTGCTTAAAATTTCATTTCTAAAATTAGTTAGGTGCTTAAAATTTCATTTCTAAAATTAGTCAGGTGCTTAAAATTATATGTCAACTGAGAATTCATAAAGAAAAATTTATTTTGAGCTCACCAACTCAGAGGTTTAATCCTTAAAACTATGAATGAGAATAAATTATTTCTTGGCTAAGTAACTGTTGTCAGGTACTTTGGTCACAGCAATGAAAAGCTGACTAACATACAAATTGATACTGAAAACTAAGGTTGTTGTTGTGAGTAACCTGACCATGTGGTTCAGAAGACTTTTGAACTGGTTTGTGGCAGGAGTTTGGATAAGTTTGGAGATGCAGGCTGGAGTAAACTTAGACTGTTAAAAGCAAAGCTTTTTAGGTAATTCTGATGGGAGCTGAGAAGACCAGAATGTTGATAACAATATAAACAGTAAAAAGACTATGCTTATGGGGTTTCAGAATGTAATGAAGACTCTTTGGAATTGGACAAGAAACAAGTCACATTAGATACAGTCACATGACAGCAAATAACTTGTCTGCAATTTGCCCATGACCTGAAACTATAGTTTCAATCTATAGTTGATGGACTAATTAATCTGGGGGAGGAAATTTCAAGGCAGCACAAATTCAGAAAGTTGCATGGGTATTGCTGGTGGTTTTTTATTCAAATTTACTGTGATAATGAGAAGCAAAAAAACAAAACAAAACAAAACAAAAAAACAGGAAAGATTGGAAAAGCTTTCAGTTGGCCAAAGAAGTAGATCTAAATTGGGGCCAAGAAGATGTGGTTGCTGAAATGATTACCACCACTAAAGAGAAGCTAAGTATTTTRTACAGAGATACAAGGAAAGATTCCTTGAGGGCATCTTAGAAAACTACACCCATAGAAGTCTAAAGGGTATAAAATAAAAATTCATTTGAAAAGAGATCATAGGAGCACCCTGCCTCCATAAGAGGGACCCATGAAGTTCCTTCCTCATGGGTCCTTAAATAATGTTCAGTTGTCTAGACTYAAGGGCCCCTGCAACCATAGTCAAGGAGCCCAGCTATTCCTTGAGCTGGCAGCAAGAGTTGGCATCATCCATGTGGTGCCAGTTGTTCAAGAATGTAGGATTCTGGAGTTGGGGATCATGGAGGCCTCCACTGAGGTTTCAAAGGAAGTCCTGGGAGGCCAAGCAAAGTGCAAGAGGATCAGAATCCCTTCAGGTAGCCCCTGAGACAGAAATGCATAAAAATGTGAGAATGAAACTAAAGCTGCAGTGGAGACCTCAGGAATTAAGAGATTCTAGTAACATGGAACATCTGCCAAGGAAAGCTGTAGGAAGCAGTGGGCAGAGCCATCCAAGAGAGAAGCCATGTTAGATGCAGTGCACAAGGCCAAAGGGGTGGAGCCACAGAAAAAGGGATTCACAGCTCACCACAATCTATGTAAGAGAATACATATTCTCTTAAATCTTCTTTAACCATCCACTATATTTGACACTCTGTCAGTTAACTCACTATTATTTTTATTCCATTATTCTACTATCATATTTACTTATTTTATCAATATTTTCTTTAATTTTTTGAAAAAAATAATAGATTAAAACAAAAATTAYACCTAATAACAGTTTACTATGTGGTATTTCCCTGTTTGTATAGTCTGTGTAATGTTTAAGTCAAGCTAAACATCTATCTTCTCAATGATCAATCATTTCTTCATGGTGAAAACATCTTTTTAATTGATAATTATTTGCACATATTTATGGGGTCTTTATGATGTTTTAATGCATATATACTTTGCACAATGTCCAAATCAGGGCAAATATCTTTCTCTTCAAACATTTATTTCTTTGCAGTTAGAACATTCAAAATCCTTTCTCCAGCTCTTGAAATACACAGTACAGTATCATAATTGATATTTACCCTATATACAATGAAAACTTAATGTTTTAAACACTATGATTAAATATAAAAATATAAAGTTTA